TGTGGGATATCATGGAGAGGAGACTATCCACTTAAACCATCCGCCACAGACTCCGACACAGCTAATCCACGAAGTTCCAGTAGCTTGGAATGAGGTGTATTCAGCTGTGGTGTCGCCCAACACATTATTTTTTTTTTCTCATTACTTGACAATACAATTTCGTGAGAATGTTATCTTCTAATGGCACTAAGTATATATCTATGTATTCCGACCACTTAACTAAGTGACCCTTGTAGTCTGAACTTTCTCAAGTAAAAGTTAGCTGGTGACAGTGACTTAGGTTCAGTTTGGATTGGTCTTTGTTAACCCACTTCGATTTGAATAACTCAGATCTAAGTCAAACCTGTACCGATATATATTAAAATACAACTAACTATCTTTCAGACATACAAAACAGTGCTATGTTCTTAGAACCATGAAAAAATTATTTGAATATTGACTAGCGGTTGTTATTGGAATATGGAAACTACAGTATTTATTATTTCATAATTGCACTGTAATGTCATTATTACCTAATAATGCGTTATACCTATAGAAGAACTGTTCCGTTCTTGAGAAATGAATACAGCTGACGGAGTTGAAAAATAATGCACAACAGTGCATTATTTGCTCATATTTCATAACGGAGATACATATTTATTAACCAGGCAGCATGATTCAGAATCAAATAATAATTAATGGATTTATATATTATGTGAAAATCCGATTCTAGATTAGATCTAGACTAACTCAGTGATTCTCATGTATTAATCAAATGCTCTCATATGAATAACCTAGATACCATATACATATACATTTTACATTTTTCGAAAAACCGCTTCTTTTCAAAAATACATGAACAGAATTTTCAAATGTAAAATTTTTTATTGGTATAAATCACCCGTAGCACGTAAAGCTTCATAATTTGTATAAACTGGTCAAATCGACTACCTCCAACTGCAAAGAATGACGTTAATCTCTTCGCAATGATCTGTCAAAGTCCAAATGCTTAACGGCCATTCAACCTTAACGGAAACTAAAGGCGGGTTCTCGTAAGTCAGTCGTATTGATCAATAACAATGAATCTATGCCATTGAACATAGATGTGAATGGTAAATTTGATCACACTGTTCAAATCGATGGAGCAACATGGCTGAACGGATATTTCACGTCAATGGCTTAGATTCATTATTATTGATCAATAAAATTGACTAATGAGAACGCAGCTTTAAGGCGGGTTCTCATTAGTCAATCGTATTGATATTTAATAGTGAATATATGCCAATGAACATGAATTGAATGGTAAATATGTTCACACTGTGCAAATCGATAGAGAAATTTGTTTGAACGGACGTTCAAATTGGACTATTTCACTCCAATAGCATAAATTCATTATAATTGATCATTACGTTTGAGTAATGGGAACCCGCCTTTACTCATCGCCTGCCCCATCTCTCGGCTTGGAATTCCTAGATACTCGTAATTATGAGGAGAGACTGAACCCTTTGATTTCAGCTGTACATTCAATGATGTAGTAATACAGTTTTTGGAGATTGAGTAGCTTCATTTGCTATTTTTGCTAATGAAAACCGTCATTTTCGAAAGTTCAGAAGAAAGATTTTTTTAAGAAACTGTCACCTGATGAGAACTGAAGACCAAATCAATCACCCTCACACAGTGAAAGTGCCTAGACCAGGGTCCAACGGCTGATTTAACAAATCGTGTGACGCTGCTCGCCAGCAGAAGATCAAGGCACACAGAACCTTCTTACAAGACCCCACTGTAGAGAACAGACAAGCCGACGTTGAGTCCAGAAACAAATATAAAGCAGCGGTTCGCATTGCCAAAAACCAGCACGATATAGAAGTTCGGCACAGGGTAATGTCGCAGCGCAATGGCAGTCGGTCTTTCTGGACGCTGGCCAAGCAGATTGAAAAGAACTTCTCACACACTAGCCTTCCACCACTTACGTGTCAGGATGGAACTATTGTATTCAACTCAAAGGCCAAGGCGGAAGTGTTAGCCAAGATCTTTGCTGCCAACTCCACCATGGACGTCCCCCCAACGCCCAAGTGCCGTCAATTCAAAGAGTTCCCTACACTATGCGGGAGGTAACATTCAGGCATAAGACCGTAAGACGAGTGCTCTTGTCGCTTGACATCAACAAAGCTTCTGGTCCGGACTTGATTCCTGCCATTGCACTGAAGAGGTGTGCACCGGAGCTTGCTCCAGTTCTTTCGCGTCTCTTCCAGATATCTTATGAATCCGGCACCTTCCCATAAAACTGGAAATTTGCTCATGTCCAACCCATCCCAAAAAAGGGATCCAAGACCGACCTTTACAACTACAGGCCTATAGCTCTGCTTTCTGATTTAAGTAAGGTGATGGAGAGGTGCATAAATCGCGAGCTTCTGGACCACCTCGAACTTCACGGCTTGATTAGCGACAGGCAGTATGGTTTCCGGCACCAAAGATCCACAGGGGACCTCCTAGCTTAATTGTGGAGTAAACTCATCCAGTCTTATGGTGAGGCTCATGTCGTTGCTCGTGATATCACGAAAGCGTTCGATCAGCTGTGGCACGCTGCCCTCTTAAGCAAACTTTCATCCTATGGCCTCAGAGAAAATTTTTGCAGATGGGTGGCTGACTTTATCTCTGGCCGCAAGATATCCGTCGTAATTGACGGGTTCTCCTCTTCATCCCACAACGTCAACGCGGGTGTTCCCCAGCGATCGGTGTTGGCTCCGACACTGTTTCTCTTACATATCAACGACCTCCTTTCCTGCACGATCAACCCAATCCACAGCTTCGCTGATGACAGCACTCTACATGCAGGAATTCAGAGTGACAATCAGATCTCTGCCGCTGAGTTGGAAAAAAGAAGACTAGCGATGACTTCCTCTCTGACAAGAGACCTGGAGGCTATCACTGCTTGGGGACGCAACAATCTTGTACAGTTCAATGCTTCCAAAACGCAGTACTGTACGGTTACGAACAAAAAGCGTCCATGCGCTCACCCGGTTTCGATGGATGGTCGAGTTCTGCCAAAGAGCCATTAATTTCGGCTGGTCGGAGTCCAGATCACCGAGGACCTGATCTGGCACGAACACATCTCGTCAATAGCTGCAGCTGCTGGAAAAAAGCAAGGCTATTTGTTTAGGGCTAAGAAGTACTTTTCTCCGCATGACCTTCTCACTCTATACAAGGCCTAGATAAGGCCTAGCCTCGAGTATTGCTCACACGTTTGGGGTGCTGCCGCCCCGACTACATTATCCATGCTCGATGCTGTCCAGAGGAGGGCGGTCCGAATGATCGATGACTCTTCTCTAACAGACAGTCTCGGCACTCTTTCGCACCGGCGGGCTGTCGGCGATCTAGCTCTTTTCTACCGTTACACCAACGGGCTTTGCTCCTCAGAGCTCTCTTCCATGATGCCGCCGCGCGATGTGCCTACCAGACAGACCCGCCTGACTTTGGCGTCCCATCCTAACCGTGTCGAACTTCGTACATCCAGAACCGGCCAATACGACCGCTCCTTTGTCCCGAGGGTGTCGAGATTGTGGAACAATCAAGAGGAAGCTTTTCCCAGTTCTATTAACCTTAGGCAGTTCAAAAATCGTATTAATAAAATTTCTTGGGATCATCATAGCAGCCGCGGTGTTCCGGCATTTAGGATTCTGCCTGCGCGGCTGCTTCGATATAAAAAAAATCCAAACGTCATGAATCAAAAATACTTTAAGGACAATCAAAGTCCCAAAAACAAGATCTCAAGCATCCATATTGTAATCAAATTTCAAACAAGTTGTTGCAGAAAATTTTGAATCTTTAAGATTCATTTTGTACCTTTCATTTAGGTACCTCTCGTTTTGGGTAACTTAGTAATTCGTAAATATTATGTTTGCTGAAATACTTTTGGTAATAGTTAAATCTAAAAAACATTTGTAAAGGCGCTCCATCCTGACTGAAACAAGAAAAATCAAACGACCTGAAAAACAAAAATCGGAGGCTTCAGACAATATTGGTGGGGATATAAAAAGAGTCAAAAGACGAAACTTTTAGATGTTTTTAAAGGACTCTGATTCCTCTATTGCAAGTTGCGAAAACAGTGCAAATACAGAGTCTACTGGCAGCAACGCTGAGTTAAAAGCACTGCAATACCTAAATAATAAGTATATCAGCATAAAAAATTTAAATGTTTATCCAACAATAAAAAAAATCTGACAGGACACCTGCTTGTCAAGTGCAACCCCTGAGGAGCGACTCCTCTCTTTAGGGATATAATAATAAGGGCTGATCGGAGAAAAATGAGTATAAAATGTTTAAAGAACTGGTCTTACTGTCTCAACTAGAATCTTGAAAAAATGAAAATTTGGGATATTAACCTGGTCTATTCCTAAATAATTCATGTAATAAAATAAACTCGATCAAATGTTTTCTTACAAAATAATTTAAAAGATACGTATCTTGTATTTGTATTTTGTATGTAGTATTGCAGATACCATTCCAGAAAGTATTTTGTGTCTGAGAACTAAAATACTTATTTTTAAAGCATCTTGTACTTTGTATTCCAGATACTTAGTACATCACTGCTCAGTGAAGCACAAATAATCCCCTCTTCTCTCGAATCAACGATTCAGGTTTGGTTTGGCTAAGGAATTCACAGGTATATCGGCTGGATGTTACAAGACGGCACAATACTGTTACAGTTATTCGGATCTTGCAGCTACTCCAATTTTAAGTGAAATGGGCAAAACTAATAAATAAAATGTAGAGGTTCTTTGGATGAAGAAGATTAAGATATTGCGACAGTTGCAATTATTATGCCATTACAACCTCCTATATTGTTTGGCAAAGCTCATTCTTACAGAAAAAGGCTGGAAGAGACAAAAAAAACTGCATAAAGTCTAATGCGTTCCAAATGAAAATAGCATCTAACGTGAACTGTAACTAGTCTCACCGAACTGCGTTCGTTTAAATTATAAAGGAAGACTATGAAAACTGGGGACCGTCATTGCATACTAATGGTCACTAGAATGTAACGGTGGTTTGCCGGACGCATACCTGTGTAATTTGGAGTTTTAACGAATACCGTAGTACGCGTAGCCATCTCACCAGCAGGTTGAGCAAGTGGTAATGATGAAAATATCTAGTGGTACCTGCCAGTACTCTGTCGTTAAAATCATTCATCGCATTGGGAGCGTTGACGTAAAGCGTTGCAGCGTTTGTATGCAGAATAGCTTTGACAGTCCTCAACATCAATCAACATACTATCAAATCTGACAACTAAGTGAAAACTTTTGTCGAACTGACAAGGTTATCCCATGGTTACTACTATCCACCAGAGAAACGAAATCGTTCAGATGAGAGCCAAATCACCGAATCCCTATCAGTCGACGTCCAAGAGGCTTGGAGCCCCCTTTTAACTATTAAGGGAGAACGAGGTGAGAAAGCAACTTCTTCAGAATATCAAAAGGCTTAACAGCATCTGTCAGATTGCCTCGGATTTCGTCCTAATGGGATACAAAATCTCTTCATGGTCCCGGATCGTTTGGAATTTTTTTGAACGGCCTCGGAATCCAGGGCACTTTAGTTCGCATGAGCATTTGATAAGGTGCCACAATACACTTAACAATGATAGAAGGTTGGACCAGGTGTGACCTGAGGTATAATATACGGACGGATAGAGCAGAGATGTTGAAAAGTATTCCGCAGCTTCAAACAAATAAACTAGAGATAATGGTCCTGAACACATCTACAATCGTTGTCCAAGTTCAGAAAAAGACACTTGATGTATTCACAAATGTACAAAAGTACATATACAGGGTGTTTCACAACATATCCGACAAATTTTAACCACATATGCACTGTTACGAAAGAAGTTGACTTCTCAAAAAAAAGTACTAAAAGTCCAATAGAAATTAAGTTATAAACCTGGGTTTCGATAATAAATTGAGAATAATTTATTGTAGCAAATGTTGTACCAAACAACTGACAAAAACAAAATACCAGGAATTTTTTGTTTTTCATACTGTTAAGAACGTGTAAATAAGGTTTAATCTGTATCGAGGTGGATATTGTTTTAGCGTACGGAGAGCGTACGAAATTTTGGATATTGTGGAAGAAAATTCGGGAATAAGCCTAAGGCAGTTAGCCCAACAGGTCCCAGACGTGTCACATGCAACAGCGTGGCGCATATTTCATGAGGCCCAACTGTACCCTTATCACGTCCAGAGAGTCCAGGCGTGGCTACCAACAGACTACCCCCTAGAGTAAAATTTTGTGAGTTGTGGTTGCAAGAAAATGCTCGAAATGCCCGTTTGGGATAACCAATCTTCATAATATTCACGTTTGGTCCTTTGAGAATCCTCACGCAGTGGTCCAGATACACTTCCAATATCGTTTTTCTTTAAACGTGTGGGTAGGTGTTGTCGATGAACGTCTGATTGGACCATTCGTACTGCCAGATCGGATCAGTATTTGGAATTTCTTCGGAATGATTTGCTGATCCTTCTTGAAGATGTGCCATCGGATGTGGTTCCTGCACGATGGGGCATCTCCGGGTTTTCGTTTAGAAGTTCGTGGTTTTTTAATCAGGTATACCAGATACGCTGGATCGGAATGGATGGACCGATTGCATGGCATCCACGGTCTCCCGATCTAAATCCTCTGGACTTCTTTTTATGAGGATACTTGAAAAACGAGGTACTACAGTCACAGTGGCTGCCGATAATTTGAGCCTTCAGGAAGGAGGTGTACTTGAATTAGTGCGCCGAAATTGGATTAGATGCGCCAAGGAATTCCAGTCAATGGAAACAATTTTGAACAGCTTTTATAAGTAAGTGAACTTATCTCGATTTCTGTAGGACTTTTATTACATCTTTTTTTTGAGAAATCAACTTCTTTCGTAACAGTGCATATGTTGTTAAAATTTGTCGGATAAGTTGTCAAGCTATTAATTTGGAAGAGTATGTACATATGCTTCAGTCTCAGTACTTCCTATATTATTATCATAATTATAAATGATTATGCATGTAGTCCGGAGTTCAACGCATCACTGAACGTCTATTATTCTATATACTATGATACAAGTTATGTAACTCATAAGAAATGTGGTCAAGTAGGTTGACCCTGCACTTTTTACGCTTTCATCAATTCATAAGGGACTGCATTCGGCACAAGTTAGTCCCTCTTAGAAAAACATTGACTACGAGCATGTTTAACAAAGAAATATTAAATAGACGATGTTGGTCAAATAATCCTTAGTTCAGCAATGCGTGAGTACCGAAAAGACCCATCATCGTCGCAATCCAGCACGGGGTTATATACACGGATACTCGCATCAGTACTCAGGCATCCCTCAACCTTCAAGGTAGAGAAGCATCAATGACTTGCCTTCTTTAACATTTTTCTGTAAACAGAAAGTGGCAAAACTTTCCTTTAAATGCATCATATTGCACCAAAGATGTGATATAATAAGTTCTAACGTGGCGTAATCATTTTTCCACAACCTGTCAACCTACGCCTGCCATGAAGGCTTCCGTCACATATGCAGAAAATACTCGTAAGATTTATGTACCGTTCATTGTACGTTTTTTTAATCAAACTCAAATGGGGTGAGGTCTCCTTTTGCGCCATTGCCCCATCTGCATTACCTACAGACCAACCTTAGCTGAGTAAGATTCATCCTCAGTTGCAGGTCATAAAGTAAGCAAGTAGATGGGGTTCCTAGTGGAATAATTGACGCAATACTTGGGCTCTTCTGGTTCACTAAATGCGAGGAATCACTCCGCATGTTCTTGCTTCCGTTCTCTTATGTGACTTGGCACTATTAACTACCTTCTTCCTGTTTTTCTTATTCTTCTGTTTCAGTTTTCTCCAGCTTTTACTTTTCGTCTTATTCTAGCAGCTAGAGCCAATAACAGCTAGAATCTAGCTGTTATTGGCTTCCATTTAGTATTTTTTTTTGATCAACATATGGTTGTCTCTTCTTTCGATTTGTCCTGCTCTCTTTAACCTTTGAGACTTGATAAATCTTACAATATCTTATACATTCAGCACTCTCATGATTGTGCAGCAGCCTTAGCCCTTCGTCTCTTTTATCGGTCCTACAGTTCTTTGGATAATTTTGTATTCTAGTCTAGTCTTTCATAGTAAGGCACATGGTCCCTGCTCCAAACACGATAACCTGTCTGTACATCTTTAATTTGGTTTGTTTCTGTATGTTTCTATCCTGTAGTAATCTGGTACTTCCAGTAAGCCTGTCACAGTATCCGTTCTGTGATTTCCGCTGACCTCTCATTCCTGTTGGTCACTATCTACCGTAAATATTGATGTACCATTTCAAATCGTTATTCTCCTATTTCAATTACATCAATACTACTCTTGACTCCTCTGATTACCAATAAATACTTCGTCTTTCCTTGATTTATTTGTAAGCGTCTTTTTTTCTTCATCAGATTATTTCAAAAGAGCTTCCTATAGACTTCTTTTGATTATAGCAACACGCACTACGTCATCTGCACAGACAACTAGTCGAGTCAAGGTTTCAGCAATCGTTCTTCTAATTGCTGTACCCTTTATCGTTCCCTTTACGACTATATTGAGGAGTGTTGTTCACAGTGAATCTCCTTGTCATACTCCTTTCTCAGTCAATACTTCTTCCGCTAGAATTCTCGCTCTCGATCCTTCCTTTGTAATTTTCATCAGTCTGATAAGCTTTTCTGGGACATTCAAGTTTCTCATTACTTCTCACAGATATGCCGTCGAAGGTCTGCTTGAAGTCGATGAAGATAATATCAGTTTCGGTGTCAGATTTATAGCATTTGTCAATAATCTGCGTAACTGTATAGTATCAATAATTGTAGACTTGCTCTTTCTAAAAGCATGATGATACTCTCCCATTTCCCTATCAACATTATCGCTTAACTTCTGTCTAATAAGAGCCGATAGGAGTTTATATGGTACGCTTAATAAGGTTATATCCCTGTAGCTACTGCATTGTGTAGGGTCTCCTTTCTTAAGTAAAGGGATTATTCTCCCTAAACTCCATTCTGTGGGTGTTTGCTCCTCTATCCATATTGTTCCTATTGGTGCATACATACATTGCATTAGCTCAGCTATAATATTATCTGGAGTCTTCTTCATATTGGAAGTACAGTCTCGTTATTCCTATGGTTTATTATATCTACCTGTTCGGTTTCGTGTTTTGCAATTTAAATAAACTGGAGTAGTGGCAGATATTACCATTGAGCTTTTGTACTCTAAGGTTATTTCTTACGAGTTCGGACAATCTGGAGTTGTCCCGAGTATTCGTCTCTATCCCATGCACTCATTCTTCCTGTTTTTATACGATTTTTCTGCTACATTTTTCTCTGTAGGCTCCCGTTTCTGCTTGTGCTCATAGGTTAAGTTTATTTTGCTCATGTGCAGGATCCATCGAATCCGAATTGTGATCAACAAGCTGCAGAAAATGTTTGAGTGTAGATCCATAATAAGTTCAAAAAACGTTTTTTTTTGTTCTGATCCAGGCTAGCACCACATGTTATTTTTGAAGTCTGAAATGATCTAAACATTCACTTATTTTACAGCCAAATTTCTGTTTGGTCTGTCTCACTTCATTCGCTAAAAGAACTTTGCAAAATCTGCAAAATACAAATCAATTCTTATTGATTGATTCCTTCAGCGGGCAATACAAAGATTTCTTCTCTAGTGTACGAATTAACAATGTTTGCCAATACATTAGCAAGAAAACCAGTATAAATCTCATCATTCTTGAACATTAAATGGTACATGTAATGCCAGACTAATAGAGTAACACCTTTGTTTCATAAAATTGCTGTAATTTATCACAGTGGTGTACACGTACAAAATTGTTTTTATCATTAATATAATAATAGGTGTGCCAAAGACGTTTGCTCTCACAGTGAATGGAATGCAAGTTATTCAATAAAGTAATCTAGATTGAGTGGAGCTGTTGCAAAACATACTATCAGTCGATGCCTAGGAATAAATGAATGAAAAGTAACTGTGTTATAAAGTACTCTGTGCTTAAAGCTATTTAATGATTGAAGTATGGTGTATGGCTATTGTAATCTTAATGGAGGTTGCAGGTATATTATAAAAATGACAGCAGGTGTCTTGGTAATGCATATCTATAATTATCTAATTGTCACATAGTGATCTCACCTTGAAAATTTTTCAGATGAAAATGTATTGCCCTTCAGATATTGGGTACTACTTCTAAAAGTGAAATAGTCCAGTAATCCATTAGCTCTTCAAGAAAGCAAGCTTAGTAGATAACTAAGTATACTGCACGAAAGCATAGATTAACGTATTCTACCTGAATATAGCCAACCTGATACTGTATTTCAGCAAAAAGTTGTCCGAGGTGAAATTAGATGCAATGACGTCATCTATGAGAATTTGTCATAGCTGTGTTTCCCCTCTCCGCAATAATTAAAAATCTACTGTGGAAAGGTTAGTATTTCACAGATGGCGCTCTACCCAACTATGAGCATATAGCTGGCTACAGCGCCACCTATGACCGAAATATATTTTATGTGGTTGGCTCTCCTCAGGTAAGTTATTGAATTTCCGGATAATTATTTGATTTGTTTTGATCCAAAAAAGACATAGAGCTCCAGCCACACCGGAAGGTGCGAGGCAAAATGCGGCAACACCGCTGCGCCCGGCTGACGATGATTATGCGCGAGTTGAATCCCTTTTGCGTGCAGAAACGAATTATAGTCCAAATCTCGCAATGAGCTGGATCAACAATAATAATCGCCATATCAAATTGGAGCTTTTTGGGAACCTTATTTCTGAACCCAGGCCTTTAAATGAAACCAAATATATAGACTTGAGTTTTCACTAATGTTCAATGATTAAAGTACAGATAGATCAAGAAAGTGACAGTGACCATATATTTCATGTCCATCTATCTTCCAGTTCATTTGTTATTGCCACTACTATACAGTGTGTTGCAACAACAGCCTGAACAGTCCTGCACCATGACGAGAATACGCAAAGCCGTCATCACAATTCACAGCGTTTGTCACTTTCAAGAGGTTGGATGTTTTATAGATCGGGAATGCTTAATTCGCTGTATAGCAATAGTAAAAACAAATGAAATGTCACCTGAAGAACATGGAATAGGTGAGATTACCTGTTCTCAGTGATCACAAAATATCACGTAACGCTTGTGGTGTAAACTTGAAATTAGTCACCGCTTTACCTCGGAAAGGAACAAGTTCAAAGTTTAAAACGGCTGAACGAATGTCTTGGTGATTACCAAGAAAATCGGTTATACCATTGAAAGGCATAGCAAAGCGGACAACGAAAATCAACAGTCCACGTTGAAAAACTGAATTGGATTCTTTCTGTGGTATAGAGGCTCATTACACAAACGCAAACAGTTTTTTCAGCCAGCTAACATTAATGATCATTCATCGTAACGACCAGATCACCTGGGAACAGAGGTGTGTGGTGATTGTGTGGCATTATCATTGAAGGAATATTACAGGCATCTTGTAGCTTTATACTATGTGCACTACATTACACAGTATTTCCATATGTATATGGATATATGGACAATAGGCCAGGAAATAAGTGATTTCTCCCTACAATTATTGCAATATTAAAATTTTTTATGGTATTGTTTAATCATTGCTGTCTAGTGATAAGTTCAAATTGGTGTCATGATTGGGCTGGAGCATGTAACGCCATTTTTAAAAACGCATTTATTCGAAAACCTTTCTGAAAAATTAGTAACAATAATTTTGTACGAACTCTAATTCTTAATCATTTAGCTTCTATCACATTTTTCCGATTAGTCAACGGCTTACAAATAGTAAAAAGGGTAAAATTACGTCATGTTTATTGAATTAAAAATAAACTAGGTAACAAATAAAGGGTAAAACCCACAAATGTAAAACTCTGTTCGTATATAATATTACAAAAATAATTTAAAATTACTTCAAATCAGTCAAATATTTTTTCTTTAATTTAAAAAAGTATGTACATATGAATGTATAAGTTCATATATTGTATAGGTGGGTATTTATCAGCAAATTTCGAAATTCATGTCCTGAGCCATTGATGCTAAGTTGCATAGATTTATCATCAATTTAACATTTGTATTATATCAATAAGTATCTACACTAACATTTTAAAAGCAAACATTTAGATAATATATTGACACAAAAAATACGATTAATTTATTAGTCCAGAAGTCATTCCCTCATCTCGTGCCTGGGTCTGAAATTACTAATAAAAAAATATATACAATCCAATCTGTTCATATTCCTATAAATTGAATATTACTAATATATTTTGTAATAAGTATGGATTATATAGTCAAGCTTTCATTGCTAAAAAATAAATATGTATATAAAAAAATCTATTTAAACTATGCCCCGTGAAATGAAATCATTCCCTCACCCATTATAAATATTCGATTTGTGGTCACACCATTTGATATTTTTGAACGCAGCTGTTATATTTTTAAAGCTTGGCAATACTGCTAATAATGTCAATATGGCTGAATTTCTTAATAGTGAAAAGAGTTGCTGCAAAAAAGTATTGGATTACAATAATTAGAACATTACATTTCTCTGTGTCATTACCTCACTGTTTATATTGAAAGGTAAGTCATTATCCTGTTCCAACGTTTTAATCATTTTTTCTTGTTTTTGGGAGTAAAATACATTCACAAAATGCTAAATCAGTTTGAGGTGATGTACTGTTGGTTACAGTGTCATTTATGCAAATCCGTCATTCCTTCACTGTCATTCCCTCACTATATCAGAAAGTGAAAATTATATCAGGGAATGAATGTTGCATATATAAAATTGTGGTTTGGGTGTTATTGTTTAACTCCAGCATGTGTTTTAAATTTTAACAGATAACCGTATATCAAGAATGAGGAAAATGAAGAAGTGAAGAAGAAAAGAAATTAAAAAAGGAGTACGACAGAAACAGGCGAGAATAAATGAAAATTAATGCTGAGTCTTCAGAAGCTTTCCGTGAAAAAAAAAGGTTAAAGTATTTAAAGAAGAAGTTAAGTCAATAAGTCCTATGAGTGCAAGAGAAACTAGCCAAAAACGAAAACAATAGAAAAAGAATAGTAAAGTTTATAGGGAAAAGCGAGTTACATAACAAACAAATTTACAGAGAATAGTTGAAGACACGCCCCCACCAAGTCCTGCACCATCTTTACAGCACAGAGCTGAGAATTTTGCCTGCTCTCAATGGACGTAGAATGCGCAAGCGGTGAACTATTCTGTACGCGAAGATTAAAAGTTTGGAAAATAAAGTAAGGAACGCAGTCAAACTTAGCGAAGAATATAAGAAGAGGTGTTTGAAATTTAAAACTAAAAATACTAATTCAAACTCTCCAGCAACTGAAGTGTCTTCGCTTTTAAAGAATATACAAGTTCCTGTCGTTGTAAGAAAAAGACTAATTTTCGGAGAAGCACTGCCAACGGACCTCAAGAATATCTATGAAGATCTTCAAAGTAAACATGGAGAAACGAAAAAATATTACCATGTTGGAGCTGCAATAAGTACAAAAGATACAAATTGCTATATAGATCGAAACATTTTTTCAAAAACGATACGTACAAAAAGAACTGCACTCGTAAAGTTAGCTCCAAAATGCTGAAAGTTACGGGTGGTGGTTCATTTCTTAGAGAATGACGAAAATTCGAGGATGTGCCCTTCAAAGTATAAAACAAATCTCAATACATCTATTAATAAATTAACTTATGTTTTTTATTGAAGTTCAGCATCAAATTGTTGTAAAAATCATTCCCCCATCCTATCAGTCATTCCCTCACTTCATAGTTTTTTAAAAGTCATTTTTCTACATGTTATACACAAAAATATGGAGGACCTTCATATTTCAATGAACCTCACTAAAGTAAAACTTTATATTTCTGGAAAAAAAGGATATATTTTCATTATTTTTTTTTTAAGAAATGCAAAATGAGATTTTTAAATTTGTTGAGAAATACCCAGGTATATTCTATTCACAAGTATTATAAACATTTTTTCTGTCTAATAACTGATTGATTTTTGTTCTATGGATGTTCAGAGGCCATCCTTTAGACTTATGTTTAGCGACTGATCCTGATTTTTTCTTTGGTCTAATTTGGAATTTATTTCTGAGAAGCAGGGCCGAAATAGATATAATAACGTATGTCGTAAAGGTCTTGGCACAAAATATTTATCGGATTTTTTTTTAATGAAGAAATTTATTTAAACACTAACTAGTTATCATAAATTACAATTCACTACTTAACTAAACTGTACTATCGAATTATGTGGAGTGGCCCATTCTACTCTATCATACGCAACTTTCATCGAATGTCTCTCATGAGGTCCTGGATGGAATTCAGATCAATTTCTCTCAGTTTTTCGTAAATTCGTCGTCTTAGTTGTTCTTGGGCTTCCCAGCCTGCATGATACACCTTCCCAGACAGTAAAGCCCAAAATTCCTCTATTGGGCGAGGCTGCGGCAAGTTTGGAGAACTATCGTTTTTGGGAACAAAAGGTATTTTGTGTTGTCAATGCCACTAGTGGGTATCTCTTGAGTAATGGCATAATTCTAGGTCTGGTCAAAATAATATGGTTAGCATGATGTTCGTGGACAAACTGAAGTAATTTGGAAAGGCAGTTATCAATATAGTTCTGACTATTCAAAGCTTAACCCCTCACCCTTCTCACAAAAGGTTGGGATACACCCTTGTTAGAAATGGCGCACCAGACAAGGATTCTATCTGCAAATTTCGTTTTATGTTCGTAACTAACATTGTCAGGGCATTCCTCTACGTTGTCCGTATAAAATCCGTCGTGTCCCTTCATTCCAGAATTACTCAAAGTGAAACACTTTTCGTCATCTAAAGTAATGATTTTTTCATCGGCAAAGTGTACCCGCCTCAATTCACGTCACCATCTTGGTATACGAAGCAGTTGCGCTTTGGAGTATTGGAGGCACTTAAGTCTATTTAGATATTTAAGACTAAAGCTCCTCAATTCCCACGATATCGTACTCTTAGAAGGCCTGTATCGACGAGTCAGTCTTCTTGTTGACATTCCAACCTGATATTTTGCTCTTCTCCACGATTTCTCTGATGTCTATGTAGTAAATGCACGTGGTCTTCCAGTTTTTTGGATATTCAGACATGGTATTCTCTGCTCGCACTCCGCTATTGTTCGATAAATGGTTCTGCGTTAAATGATTTCATTCTGGAATATTCGACAGATTTCAGCTTTGGGTACCCGCCCAACCAACTTGTAGATACTTTTTCTTATTTCTAACTTATACGAAATCGTAAAGCGAAAACTTCAAAATAAATAAATGTCAACTGACAGTAAGTAAACAAACTTTCGTTTCCAAAGGCAGCTTGATATTATTTTGTGTTTGTCAAAATTAAAGCGAATGAGTTTTGTGCCAAAACTTTTACGACATACATTATAATGTAATATTGTGTTTTGACATTCTGAACTTGAAGTATTTGTTTATTATTAATTCTATGCCTGGTATGGTTGTGGTGCGAGATATTTGCCCTAGAATTTTTATATATGAATTGCCTGCTGGAAGCAGCAATGAACAATAGTCTAACATCAAACAAGCAAGATTATTCAAGTGTATAGATATTTTCGCTTATAATGATGAAACGAACAATCTGACAGTACGACGACTATTTTTTCGACAGCTTGAACACGGTCACGCCGAGTACTCTAATCGCTACCTACGTAGGTATTCCACGTGTCAGCATACATGTTTTTACGTAAAGATAACTCCATAAATCATTATCTATGATCAAGTATAATTTAATTCCCGACAAAATTGAATGAAGGCAAATTCTCCAGATCTATCAGTGCACCAATTTAAACATATCATTAGGAAGCAATAATCTAATGTTACCACCAAATTAATGTAGGATTTCCTTATATATTTCCCTATTTCCTGCCTAGTCGATTCGCGAAAAGAGTGAAGATATAAGTTTAAACAAAAAAACTCTCTCAAGTTTTGAGTTTGCCTGAGTTCTTAACAAATTATATAATGTTACCACCAAATTAATGTAGGATTTCCTTATATATTTCCCTATTTCCTGTCTAGTCGATTCGTGAAAAGAGTGAAGATATAAGGTTAAACACCAAATTCCCTCTCAAGTTTTGAGTCTGCCTGAGTACTTAAGAAATTATATAATGTTACCACCAAATTAATGTAGGATTTCCTGATATATTTCCCTATTTGCTGTCTAGTCGATTCGTGAAAAGAGTGAAAATATAAGGTTAAACACCAAAACTGTGTAAGTCTTCAGTTTTCCTGAGTTCTTAACAAATTATATGAGTCAATATCAAAGACTAAAATGGCCGCATCAATTACTCGATGAATTAGCTTGGTATTTTCGATAGTTGTCTGTCGGACTACAGCATCATTATACTTAAAATATTAACGTATGATGAGACCTATGCCGTGATGTTGGTACAAAGTGCTTCTACCGTACTTCATTTTATTGATAACAATCTTATACATTTTCCCATCTAACAACCAAAAGGATATCTCACGCTGCATTGGACTGTTAGTCAATATTAAAATCTTGACAATGGAAACTAACAAAAAACATTAGAGATAAATTTAAATTCTACCTAACTTGAACGAGTTTCCAAAGTGTTTTGAGTGTGATTGACTTCTGATGGCCAGCCCCTAGCAACTCACCTAGAAATTCCTATCACTGCAATTTACAACTATTCAGTCCAGACGTTCGTCAATCAACTATTGCTATCAGTATTGTTAATTTAAAAAAACGTGTTTATTACGAATATCATTAAATTTTGTAGTCTAGACAGCAAAATTCAAACCTCATTCTCGTGTCCGATACAAAATGTTATCGTCGAACTTCCATTTCGATAGTGATACACAATTTAAGAAATTAGCGAATCAACCTTGAAATATGATACTATTTAAATACCCGTTTCCTTGGCATATTCAGTACCAGCCGAAATGAAAACGTGTTTAGTTTCATGGTTGCATTTTTTACAAATTGGTGTATGAACTTGCTGATATTACGTATTCCTACCACTAATTCAAGCGTACCAATTTTAATTTATTCAGCAGTTGAACAAAATAGCTTTTAGCTTGCTGCACAATCAGATTTAATACCGTTATTAGATTTTCTAGTAGAAACCTTACGTGCAGTTTTTTTGTATCTAAAATGCGAAATAATTTCCAAAAACTAAAGTCTTTGTAGTAATTTCCATCGAAGCGAAGAGCATTCACAAATGCTCAAAAGTTTCTGGAATGCACTAATTGCGACCGGTTTATTTTTTTTAATACTGAGAAGAAAAATAAACCAAGCAATGTTCAGTATCATGTCTTGCTTACAAAATAACGGACAAGGTTTCAAACATCGACTATGATTTACCCCTGCTTATTTGTGATTATAATTGTTATCCCCAAAATTTTCATTTTGTACTCAGGTTACTCCATACTTTTTATTTCCTGATCATTTTCATTTCAATAGAAAATTCGTCTCCAACCAAGGAAACACATCACTGAATTTAGGATTGAAAGCTTCATTTAGATGTACAAAATTGCAATATAGCGTCCATATGAAAAAAGCGAAATTGGTGATGGAAGTCGAAAGAGGAAACCTCGAACTGAAGATTTGACTACATACATCCTGCAGAGGAGAAGAAGTGAAAATGACAACTTGTAATTTGCTTTGAAATCTCAGTTAAAGTCCGAAATAATAAAGAATGAATTTTTCATACATCTGGTATATACTAAGTGACATATAAATCCAAACACCCAGTTTAAATGATTTATTTTAATAAAATTTTGTATAAGTACTTAATGAAGCATAATAAGTAAATGATAAAAATTTCTAAATTATTGCACTGCTTTAAAGCCCTTTGACCTTTAATAATGTGTGGATGCACCCTGATGTGCTACGCATTCTCCAACGCGCCTAGGCATGCTTCTGATCAGGTGGTCAATGTCCTCCTGTGGTATCTCATTCCAGGCAACCACCAACTCCTCTCGAAGTGCTTCTAGAGTCTGAGGAGGACGTTGCAAATTGAGCAATGTCCTACCCATCATATCCCACACGTGCTCAATTGGGGATAAGTCGGGAGATCTTGGTGGCCATGGTAACAATGTGACATCATTATGTTGAAAGAAGTCTATTGTGACTCTTGCAACATGTGGTCGGGCATTATCTTCTTGGAAAGTTGGATCTGCCAGGGTGTCATGTCATGTTACCTCTGATGAAGATTAAAGACGACCTGGAACCATAAGCTATAACACCCCAAACCATAACTCCAACAGTGTGATGAACATGTCTTGCAACAAAAAACTGTGGATTCCTCCTTTCACCACGTCGCCTTCTAACCCTGGCACGACCATCGTGCATGCCTAAACAAAATCGAGACTCGTCACTAAAGACAATACTGTTCCATTCCTGATCCCAGAGTGACCGTTGTCTGCACCACTCAAGGCGATTACGACGGTGTTCTCGAGTTAAAGGGAGGACCCAGTGTCGCCGGTATGAAAACAAGCCAAAACTTCTCATTCGTCGGTAAACACTTCGCATGCCAATAGGTCAAACCATTCATTTGCAATGGACCTGGTAATGGAGAAACGGTCCCTTAAGGCCAATAATCTTAGGCGGCGATCTTCACGGTCTGTTGTTCTACGGCGGCGTCCAGTGCCCCTTGCTCTTTGCGTACGGCCTTCTCGAAGCCATGCCTGACAACACCTAACCACAGTGTCTACACTTCTTTGCACTCTAACTGCAATTGCCCGAAAAGAAGGTCCAGCTTCCCGAAGTCCGACTATACGGCCCCTATCAAACTCACTAAGTTGACGAAATCGTACAGGTCTCCGTACTCTAGGCATCGTAACCGATCGTAAAGGATGTCAAGAACCAAAATCCGCCAACGTTGATTCTTTACTGCGGCTGAAATATTCATTTTTAGAGCGTTAGTGAATTAAAAAAAAGCAGTATAAAAACCGGAATGTCCAACTGATAAGGCTGAACATTTTTTCACTTGTTATTTACAGTAAGATAAATACATTCACCAACTTTTATTAAAATAAAACCATTTAAACTGGGTGTTCGGATTTATATGTCACTTAGTATACGAAACAAATGACTATTTGATAATTTCAAGGCCCAGCTAGGAAATTCTGTTTTTTTCAAATAACTATGGTTTCGCAATCCCAATGTATTAAATGTTATACATTTTTGGAATCAGAATTAAAAAATCTATTCACCTGTGTGAAAATCCAATATGGCGTCTATAAGAAAAAATAAAGTTGATTCTAGACGACAAGAGACGAAACGTCATATTGAAATTCTAATTATACCATCTTGTAAAGGAGAAAAAGTGTCAGTATTTTTGTGTAACTTATTTTGAAATCACACTACAAATAAGGCCAGAAATAAATAAAAACGATTTTGGAAAAATTCGGTTTTTGGTGAGTGTCAAATTTTAAACACCAGGTATAAGCTAGGACGGAATGTACTCACTATTCATTCTATATACCCGTTTTGTTCGTAAATAGTGTTTGAAGTTATCGCCGTTCGATTCAGAGACGCAAGTTTGTTAATTTCCTTTTAAATTAGTAATATTTGGATCTATCTAGTCTTCTGCTATTCTTCTTTGGTTAGGCAGAAATAATTGGAGGCCACTCTTTCTCTTTTTCATTTTCTCTTGGAGCTGACGGAGACATTTCTTTCGGCCGTTACTAAGGCTTTAGATCTTAGCTCTGGATTACCACCCTAGTCTGGGATTTGGGCCTTACTTCACCCTTGGTGAAGCTTTATTTTGGACCTTATATATGGCCTTTTTTTGGAGCCTTGTCTTGGCTTTGGCTTCCTACTCACCTTTAGCCTACATCTTCAAATGGACCTGACTTTTTGAAATCTGCGAGCCTAGGCTACTACAACCTTAAGATTCCATCAAACAAGACAGTTTTTTTCGCCAAAAATTGATCTTTTAAAGTATATAGTTGTTAGTTTTTATTCATACTGTGATGGAAATGTTTACGATTAATAAAATTTGTAAGGTTTTAATGTGTTTTCGGTTTGTTCTTCTCTCCTTTCGCTGTACCATTGTCGACTTCTACTAGAGCCTCATGCTTCGAACACAGCTACTGGAAGCTAACTATCGCCTCATTTCTGTGTGAGTGTAAAAGCGGTGGTACATTAACTAATGTACCATCTATTCTGGGCGAGCATAGAAACGACGGCTATATCACCTCGATGGCATTTGCACGATGTGAGACCTGAATATACTCATATAGGACCAATATAATCTCGAATACACTCACCGTGAACTAAAACCAAATCGATAACTTCGTTATGGCTACAGGATTGTTTCAATTTCTGTTTTTCTAAATCCATTTGTAAGTAAACAGCATGGTTACCCTACCCTGCTGGGTCGACCTGGCCCATTCAGATTTTTTTTTGGAGCTCAATAATTCGTTCATATTAAAGCTTTGATGTATGCATTACTAGGAAGCTTTTCTTGTTGCATCATGAACTATACGCGATTTAAACGAAAGCTCCAACTTAAAAGAGACCCGTTTTGCAGTTACATAAACGAAAATCCCAAGAAGATAGATTTTCTACAATGAGGTCCGGTTTTGGTTAGTTAGCCAGATCTTATAGGTAGATGAACTGCATGAACTCTTAGTAGTTATTTGTCTTGAATATAATTTTTAACGTCTTTCATGTTTTTACCATTGTTTGGTTGTTTCAAATGGTATCTAGTAGAATTGCCAGGTGGTTTTTACTTGATTGTCTTTTTGCAATCATTATTTGTTGTATTTACATTTAGCTAAGCCGGAGCAGTAATATGCAATTAACTAATTGTTTTCCTGCACTAATGACTGTGAAATGCAAATGACTCATAACAGACTGATACTTTAAGAAGTAAACGGTGTCTTTCCCAATCTTAAAAGCAAACAATAATGCTTATAGCATGTTTCACCGCTTTATACCGGTTCATGTATAATGTAATTATGAGTTACATGTTTTTGAACTCTTGGCATGGGAAAACGCCGCATACGTTTTTCGGCAATATAACATCAAATTATATCAATGGGAATTTTAAGGTTCTCATAGGCATACCAATTTATGCACTATGCTCGATTTTTTCTCTCCTAATAAATAATGATCTGTGGAGCTTACAAAACGTAGTCGGTTGTTTAGTCAATGTCTACGAAAATGGATATCAATTATCCACTTTCGATATAAGATTGCCACCATATAATTTAGTTAGATTATTTGGTCTAGTGACTCCACAGGCCCAGAAAATAAAAAAGTGGTGTATACTTGGGATTCCACTATTTTTTTTTCCATTTACTTTTCCACGCATCTGAAGTCTAATTTGGGGTCGTTGGACAAATAAGAAAGTAATTCATTTTGGCATTTTGGGGGTGGATGTCTTCAGATATCTCAAGGAGATCCACATTCACCAAAACTATCAAAACTTTTATTTCTGATGACTAAATAACTTTCATAGTTGTCCATTTTCCACCAATTTTGACTTCAGTTTCATGTTCAGAGAGAAAAAGACATGGAAAAATATAGTGAGACTACGGCAAACCACTTTCCTTTTTATTGGGGACCTGCGGATTGTTTTTATGTGTTTTCTCTGGAAATTGGTTCCCCAATTTTGGCTTCAGATTATTGTTCAGCGTGAAAAGGTACATGTGAAAAACATAGTAGGGCCCCAAACACATACTACGTTATCATTTTGCTGTTAGTAGCATCTTTGGAGTTCAAGTGTACAGAAGCCTGGTGGAGGTAATGAAATTAAATATATATAACTTGAGACGTGGCCATTGTCGTCTAGACCAGTTAGTCTCTAGCTTTCAATGAACTATCCCATCATCATCAGGAGAATAGTATGTGAGATTGTAGCTAAATGTTATTAAATATTAAGTTGAGGGAGACATTTAGTAACCTGGTGAAAGCTGGATCCATGGTACATTCGTTAAAATGAGTATAAAATACACACAGCTGTATGTCAGGAACAAAACAAAACGGATTAAAAATATTTGGAACGAAAGTTAAAATTATTACATGTTACATCGTGAAGCAGCCTAAAAAAGAGGTTGTCGAAATGTGGAAGAAAATTGATTATTTTGTGCATTTCCGCAACTAGCCTATGAAGTTGTACCTTTTTTGTACTAATTCTACAGCTTTTTATTAACCTAAGTATTCTACGTTAAGCAGTAAATGCTATCTAACATGAGTCAAAATGGGTGTAATAAAATGCAAATTGTTTTCAAACTTTATATGCATGGAAATGACAAATCAATGTCTTTTATAGAGAGTTTGGACATGTTTAATGTTACAGTAGTTGTTCAAAATGTCTTCCATTATTGGATATGTACATTGTTGTTCTTAAAACAATGTGTCGTGTTGAGCGGCAGACCATATCCGTGTTAACCCTAATTTTATTCGCAGCGGTATGGATCCAGTTCAAGGGGGGTGAGGTATGACGTTGTAGGGGGTGGATTTGTCGATAAAAATATCTGGAAAATATACCCCTCAAATATCGGTATGTCGTGACCAAACACATTGTATATATATATAGTTAGGTGAGAAAACCTTCAGAATTTAGTTGGCTACAGGGTACTTCGTCAAAATTAAAGCAATGGGTACTTTTTTTCTTAATTTCCTGAGCTGAAGGGTGAAGCTTTTCTGACCTAACTGGTTATTTAGGGGACAATGATCAGGACTCAAGTCATATACCT